ACAACAAATTCATCCTTTTTTATGGCTGCATAGTATTCCAGTGGTGTATATTGCCCACATTTCTTAATCGCGTGTCCGCACTGATGGACATTTGGGTTGATTCCAAGTCTTTTGCCTATTGTGAATAGTGCCGCAATAAACATATGTGTGCATGTGTCTTTATAGCAGCATGATTTATATCCTTTGGGTATATACCCAGTAATGGGATGCCTGGGTCATATGGTAGCATCTAGCTTCTAGATCCTTGAGGAATCGCCATACTGTTTTCCATAATGATTGAACTAGTTTACAACCCCACCAACAGGTGTAAAAGTGTTCCTATTTCTCCACATCCTCTCCAGCACCCTGTTGTTTCCTGACTTTTTTAATGATCGCCATTCTAACTGGTGGTGAGATGGTATCTCATTGTGGTTTTGATTTGCATTTCTCTGATGGCCAGTGATGATGAGCATTTTTTCATGTGGTCTGTCGGCTGTATGAATGTCTTCTTCTGAGAAATGTCTGTTCATATCCTTTGCCCACTTTTGATGGGGTTGTTTGTTTTTTTCTTGAAATTTGTTTGAGTTCTTGTAGGTTCTGGATATTAGCCCTTTGTCAGATGAGTAGATTTGCAAAAATTTTCTCCCATTCTGTAGGTTTGCCCTGTTGACTCTGATGGTAATTTCTTTTGCTGTGCAGAAGCTCTTCAGTTTAATGAGATCCCATTTGTCAATTTTGGCTTTTGCTGCCATTTGCTTTTGGTGTTTTAGACATGAAGTCTTTGCCCATGCCTATGTCCTGAATGGTACTACTTAGTTTTCTTCTAGGATTTTATGGTGATAGGTCTAACATTTAAGTCTATAATCATCTTGAATTAATTTGCGTATAAGGAGTAAGGAAAGGATCCAGTTTCAGCTCTATTTATGGCTAGCCAATTTTCCCAGCCACCATTTATTAAATAGGGAATCCTTTCCTCATTTCTTGTTTCTCTCTCAGGTTTGTCAAAGATCAGATGGCTGTAGAGTGGTGGTATTATTTCTGAGGGACTCTGTTCTGTTCCATTGGTCTATATCTCTGCTTTTGGTACCAGTACCATGCTGTTTTGGTTACTGTAGCCTGTAGTATAGTTTGAAGTCAGTAGCGTGATGCCTCCAGCTTTGTTCTTTTGACTTAGGATTGTCTTGGAGATGCGGGCTCTTTTTTGGTTCCATATGAACTTTAAGAATCAATATCGTGAATGGCCATACTGCCAAGGTTATTTATAGATTCAATGCCATCCCACACAAGCTACCATGAGTTTCTCACAGATTGGAAAAAAACACTTTTGATATTTAGTGATCATTAGAGATAGAAAAAAATATGTGGTGTGTGTGTATATATATATATATATATCGCTGTAGTTCATTTCTTTTTCATTCTCTAATTACTAACACAAAATATTTATTTAGTACTCTCAATGGGTCATACATACACTTTCATAAACATTAGAATACATCAGTGTCAACAACTGGAAGAATCTGAGATTTTTCCCTACTATTAAGTTAACCAGTGGTCCTGCCATATACATACATACACACACACACACACAAATCATACTATAATATATAATATTATAAGTATATATCAAATATATAAAACAATATATCTCAAGTGATCCTTTCATATATATATATGAGAGTGTGTGTGTATATATACATATATATATATATTTTTATGTATCTGGAGTTTGATTAGCAGTTACATTCAATTCTCCAAAATGTTGCTCTGGAAAAGCAATTTTGAATCCCTGAAGTGCTTTGGCTTATTCTATATAATCCCTGTGGTACCAACTTTATTGAAATAAGAAACCAATTTTTCTCAAGAGAAGCAAACAAACGAGACCTCATCTCAAATCCCCAGAGGTTTAAGTTGACTTTGCAAGTCAATGCCCATGAGATGAAGGTATTTGCAACCTGGGTAATGTATATTTTCCTTGCTTGTGATGTGTTTTCTTGTCATTAACCATGGTGCTCTCCCAACTCACAGTTAATTCATCCAAACTGGTTTGCATCCTCTGGGGTTAAAGTAGGAAGTTTGGGCCTACTTATGGCTGCAGGAAATGCCATTTGGTGTATTTTGAGGTAACACAAAAACTGATGGTTTAGGTATTATAAAATCCTACAGTCTCTTGAGAACAATATACTTCACATAATGTATGATGATAAAAAATACAACAAAGATTTTTTTACACAGATCCACCAAAGCAAGCTCAGAGACATAATATTATTACAGAAAATTTATACTGCCATGTAACTGGATATTATAGAGAGAATATATATAAATATCTGAATTAGGTTTAAAGGCAGTGAAATTTAATGCACTATATATAATTTACTAAAATATTTTTTCTGCTGACTCAGCACTTGGAAGATTACTTGTTTGAAAGGGAGTGTAAGAAATATAGTTCTGGGTAGAAATGCTCTCTTTTTATCACTTATTCTACAAAATACAGTTATATTTATGGCTGGAAGTTTTACAAACTCTATAGATTTTGCAGCTGCTAACTCCTGAAATAATTGCCTAACATTACAGTATTTCTGAAGTGTAAATTAGGATTCAATGCTGTCAAAAGTTGCAGTAATACCTTCTTACATATATAGACAATTTGATTTGCATTCATAAAAATAGAATGCAAATCATTTACCACTTATCACATAGAAACATGAAAACATAGTTCTGTCTTCAAATCATGAACAGAAGCACATAATTGTCAATGTGCTTACTTGAATAAAGGTATGTAAAAATGTGCATTACAGCTTATTTAACTATTTTACTTTTTCTGAAGTTAGTTCTCATTAATTATACAGTATTCTGCCACACTAGATTGTGGGCATTAATGAACAAATTTTAGAAAATCAAATTCACCTACTATTTAAAGAACATAACTTTCTTATTTTTGAATGATGTACTTTTATAATATATCATATTTTAGCAAGCCCTATAATGCACTGGAATGTAGTTAGCATTCACATATATGAGAAATTGGAGGAGGATGCATTGTTAGTGAAGTTGTCACATATTTAAGATGTTAAAAAGTAATTCTATTTTAATAATTATAATTTTTAAAAACTGCCCAACTACTGAAGTGGGGTGCTGATATTTTTTCTGGTCTAATACACTGAGTAAAGTATAAGAAAACAAAATATATCCAGGCATTGTACAATATCCAATAGAAGAATGTGACAACTGACAGAAGGAGAACTCATGAGGTTAGCTGCAAAATCATCCTGGCTTTCTGTAGAAGATTCTCCAATGGCTGCAACAAGCTAAAGAAAAATGAATGGGACTGATTTCTGTGCACTGCACCTGATGAATGTAGCAAAAAGATCATATAATTTTTTAACATTATTATATTGAATTGCATTGATTGATTTTTGGAAGTTAAACACTGTTTTGGAGTATAAATCTAATATGAATATATTATCCTTAATATAGTTCTTAAATTTGATTTGCTAAGACTGTTAGAATTTACATCTATTTTATGAATGACATAATTTTTCTTTCTTATAATTTCTTTTATGTTTTTGTATTATTGATAACCTCACAAAATAAGTTTGAAGTATTTTCTCTTTCTATATTCTCTAGAATATTTTCTGGTAGACTGATACATTTCTCCTTAAAAATTTGGAAAAAGTTCGTGATGAAGAAGCTACCTGGGCCTGAAGATATCTTTTCTGGTAAGTTTCAAATCACGGATTCAATTGCTATAATAGATATGTAGATTTTCTAATTCTTTTTGCATCATTTTTGATATGCTGAGTACTTTGAGACAATCAATTTCATCCAAAGAAAAATGTTTGTCAAAATATAAAAAGTGCACTATATAATTTTCATGCATTAATACCTATGATAAATTTTCATTTATAAATTGTTAGAGTATAAATGTGGCAAATATTGACTATTTTTAGTTTTTTAATGTGACATATGATTTTCAAATGCATATTTAAAACAATACCTGTTCTCTTACAGAGATGAATCATGTTGGGTCTTGATTTCAAAGGTTGATTTATATTTTCAAAGAAAATGTTCTTCATAGAAAGAATTTTTAATTACACTTTGAAAAACACTCTTGTTTCAGTCATAAAACAAATGATATTAGCTGTTGATAGAACGAGAGAGCATTTCAAGAAACATAATCTATAGAATTAGATAAATTATTAAAGGGTAGTTCCTAATTAGGCTTATAAACATCAATAATTAATAATTCCCCAAACTCATAGCAAAAGTGCTTTATTCTTTTCAAAGAGGTTTCTTTTTGTTTCCATATTAGATCCATCAACTCTCTGAGGTAACTTGAGAAAACATTTATTGGTTGAGAAATGAATTCTTGGGGATGTGTGCAGTTTGTTTATTATATAAATACTATGAGAAGAAAGGTTCTCTGAATCCCAGGGCAGCTTCATCATCAGAGAACTACAGTGGAATTAATGTAAGATTCTAACATTTCACTATGTGAACCATGCTTTTCTCCAGGTCCTTACAACGTAGAATAGTTTATAAATCCAAGCTAACAAATGTGCTAAGTAAACCAAAGGAATCAAAATAAGACAAGCAACAACGAAAATATAACTAACTATCATGACAGAAATCTCATTAGGAGAGAATCCGTGAAACGTTTAGGGAGAAAAATAATGGAGTGCTCTGTATAGAAATAATAAGCATCTCTCTAGTCAACAGTTAAAATAGGAAGGAAGGAAGGAAAGGAAAAAGGAAAGGGAGGGAAGGGAGACAGAAAAGGAAAAACAAGGCATTTTCCAGTGGGGAAAAAAATAAATTTTTATTTGCTCTATTTCACTGAAGAATCTTGATTAATACAGTTACTATTTTTTATTTTTATTAAAACAATTTTCTTTTATACATCATGTGGATCCGTCCAGCCCTTCTGTTTGATCACAGGTGGATGTGGCTCATTATTGGCAGAACTGTGTCCATTTAGGCATTTCAGATCAAATACAATTCCTGGTCATATAAACCTGAAGTTTTTATGGTACCTACGATAATTATGTTTTATGGAAAGGTAGGTTGACATTCAGAATATGACTGAACAGCTTATGTAGGTCTACCTAGAGAGAGAAAATAGACTGATCATGAGGGGTGCAAATGTTGGTCCTGTGACAATTATATTTCTCATAGTGAGTTAATCACTTGCCTCTGAATTTATAAGTGTCTTCAGAGCTTGCTTCATGTGTAGATACCTCTGAGATATTAATGCCCCTTGATGTGCTGATGAAATTAGTGTGCTGCACCAGATCTGAAGCTTAATACATTAATCAAAAAAAAATGAGTTTAGCCCCTAGAGGCCTCTTGGTAGTATTCTTGAGCGTATCAAACAGACTATGCGGACGAATAGTATTTTTGAGGAATCAAGATTCCTTTTTTTTTTTTTTTTCCCCAAACGTGAGAGCTCAGCATTGTTCTTTTCCTTTGCATTCTACATTTATTGGTAGAAATTTGAAAAGAAAAGAGAAAGTTGAAGAAAACAGGTATTTCAACAGTATAATTTTTAATTTGTTTAATTAAAATAAATTCAAATTAAATCATCTCTGAAGGCTTATCTTTGATATAGCCTATAGTACAGTAACAAGCACTAGAACATAAGCTCTTCAAGGATTGTAATATGAAAAAGCACAGCATTGAATCCCTCAAGTCAAGCATAAAATCTGCATATGGTAGATGCTTAATAGAAATTGCTCACAAGATATTCATTATCATTAAATAACTTAATGAATTATTAATGACAATGAAGATGTCTGATTAATAAATACCTTAATTGGTAAAGTGATGAACTGATAATTGTATTAATTTTAAATTTTCTTTTAAATTGAAAAATAACATTTTTATTTATGCTCGATCTTGAACACAGTACAGTGCTGAAGAGGCATACATATTAGATAGGTTGTATGTACTCTTGCTCTTTCATGGTCCCTATTGTTACTTTTTAATAATTTTTTTTTTTTTTGGTTTAAGGGGGCTGACAAGTCACGTTTTTTCCTCCTCTGAATTTGTAATCAAATTGAAAATGCAACAAGCATCTGTTAGGAATAAAAAAAGTCATCACTGGCATTTTGACTGGATTGAAAACCTTAGGAGAAGGAACAGAGAGCATGGTGGCTCTCTATTTTTCATCATATTGAATGTAAACTGTCTGTGATCTTCTCTGCTTCTGTTTCCATATGGTAAATATTCTTCAGTCACAACTGACTTTTTACAAATGTAAAATACTATGATTCAACATGTTTGGTGATTCTAGCAAAAGCTGTAATAGAATAGATTATATCTTAGTAAAATATACATTTCCAAAATTGACCCAAGAAAAAAGAAAAGCACACTAAAATATACAAGTGATTTTAGAAGAGATTGGAAAGGTGATTAAAGAGTGCATGTGTGTGCATTTAAAGGCTCCAGGACAACATAATTTCACAGAAGAGGTTTTTCTAATCTCTAAAAAAAAAAAAAATTATCATGAAACTATTCCAGGTTATCAGAAAAGGTAAAAGTTGACAGCCAGGTGTACTGACTCATGCCTGTTATCCCAGCACTTTGAGAGGCCAAGGTAGGTGGATCACTTGAGGTCAGGAGTTCAAGGCCAGCCTTGCCAACATGGTGAATCCCCATCTCTACTAAAAATACAAAAATTAGCCGGATATGGTGGCACACGTCTGAAACCTCAGCTACTCAGGAGGCTGAGGCATAAGTATCACTTGAACCCAAGAGGTGGAAGTTGCATTGAGGTGAAATCACACCACAGCACTCACTCCAGCCACTCCAGCCAGGGCAACAGAGTGACTGTCTGTCTGTCTCAAGGTAAAAGCTTTTTTTTTGGTTTTAGACAGTTAGCAGATTCTAAATAAATACTAAAACATGAATAAGATGGAGAAAGAAACCAGAAAAAGAATATGCATTGAAGAAACAGATGTCAGGAATGTGTTAATTTTTCCATATCAGAAAATGTATTGCCATAATAGATTACATCAGTAAGCTAAAGTGCAGAAAAGTCATACACTTTATCTCTCTGTCAGAAAGATTTTTTGTTTCCTTGTCTTGATCATCTAACAATTGTACAGGGTATGCTAAAGTCTTTTAAAATAAGTGCTGTCTAGACCACAAGACAGTATAATGTCTTGCTTAAGGTTAGAGAAATTTTCCCTCCTTTCTATACTGTTTTGCAATATTACCCTTTTTTGTATGGTTAGAGATATTTTTTACTCAATGTCTTTAAGCAGCTAGTTCAATAATAGCCATTTGCTCTAACATTACATAATTGTTTTTAAAAAGTCTTAAAATTATGCATTTGTTAGTTTGTATTCAGTAGTTCGATCTCTTTAGTTACAACTTTATTTTAGTAGGAAACATGCAATATGGAGAGAGTAAAAGGAATCTCAAATTTGCAAACCTTGTATCTGTAAAAGACAGAATACATAAAAACTTTCACAACTCAAGACAACAAACTATCTAATTTTTAAAATGGCAAATTATTGGGAAAAACCCTCACTAAAGATATATCGATGGAAAATATGCAAATGAAAATGTGTTCAGGATTATTTGTCATCAGAAAATCCACTGGGGTTGTTTTTTCCTTATGAATTTGTTCAAGTTCCTTATAGATGTTGGATGTTAGAACTTTATCAGATGCATACTTTGCAAATATTTTGTCCCATTCTAAAAGTTTTCTGTTTGCTCTGTTGATAGTTTCTTTTGCTATGCAGAAGTTCTTAAGTTAAATTACATTCCATTTGTAAATTTTTGCTTTTGTTGTATTGCTTTTGGCATCTTTATCATGAAATCTTTGTTATCATGAAATCTTAGCCAGTTTCTATGTCAAGAATGGTATTATCTAGACTGTCTTTCAGAGTTTGTATAGTTTGCGGTTTTACATTTAAGTCTTTAATTCATCTTGAATTGATTTTTTGTATATAGTGTGAGGAAGGGGTCCAGTTTCAATATTCTGCATATGCTAGCCAGTTATCCCAGCACCATTTATTGAATAGGGAGTTCTTTCCCCATTACTTGTTTTTGTCAGTTTTGTCGAAGGTCAGATGGTTAATTTCTGAACTCTGTTTGTTTTTGCACCTGTATCATGCTGTTTGGCTTACTGTTACTGTAAAGGACATAGAAACTTTTCAAAAGAAGACATACATGCAGTGTACAAGCAGATGAAAAATAGTTCAATAACACCGATCATTAGAGAAATGCAAATCAAAACGACAATGAGAAAACATCTCATACTAGTCAAAATGGTTATTAGTACAAAGTCAAAAAAAAATATGCTGGCACAGATGGAGAGAAAAGGAAATGTGTATACACAGTTGGTGAGAATGTAATTAGTTCGATCATTGTCGAAAGCAGTGTGGTGATTTCTCAAAGGGCTAAAAACAACTACCATTTGACCCAGCAATCTCATTACTTGGTATACATCCAAAGGAATATAAATTATTCTACCATAAAGACACATGTATGCATATGTTCATTGCAGCACTATTTACAATAGTAAATTGCAGCACTATTTACAATAGTAAAGACATGGAATCAACCTAAAAGCTCATCATTGGCAGACTGGATAAAGAAAATGAGGTACATATACATTATGGAATACTATGCAGCCATAAAATAATCCAGATTATGTCCTTTGCAGGAACATGGAACATGAATGAAACTGGAGGCCATTATTTTTAGCAAACTAATGCAGGAACACAAAACCAAATACTGTATGTTCTCACTAATAAGTAGGAGCCAAATGGCTAAATGATGGGAACACATGGACACAAAAAGGGGAACAACAGACACTGAGGTCCACTTGAGCTTGGAGAGTGAAGAGGAGGGAGAAAATCAGAAAAAAATAACTATTGGGTACTTGGCCTAGTACATTGGTGCCAAGATAGTCTGTATAACAAACTCCAGGAACACGAGTCTCCCTATTTAACAAAACTGCACATGTATCCCTGCACCTAAAATAATACGAGTTTACAAGAAAGAAAATTCAAGTTAAAACCACAATGAAGTGCCATCACTATGCACCAATCAAACAGCTAAAATGAAAAGGATTAACCATACCAAGTGTTGGCAATGATGTGAAGGAATCAGAGCTCTCATATACTTCTACTTCTGGTGAAAAAGTAAAATGGCACAACTACTTTGAAAAACAGTTTGACATTTTAAAAAAAATTAAATAGCATGTAGTAGTCATTCTGCTCCAAGGCATTTCAACTAGGAAAATAAAAACGTATTTATTCTCACAAAAACATATACATAAATGTTCACAGCAACTTTATTCACAAATACCTAAAAGATAGAAACAAACCAACTGTCCATCAACCGATGAAGGAACAAACAAACTGGTATACTTATATGAAATACTACTCAACAATAAAAGACAATGAAGTCTTTTATTTCATAATCTTATTTTTAATAAAATAATATAAATAAAATAAAAATATTTTTAAAGAAAAGACATAATCTTTAAAAAACTTTGTTAAAGTAATGAAAATAACATTGATGAGTCTCTAACCTATGTTAATGAGTGAAAGGAGTCAGACAAGAAAATGGTACCTATTTTCTTATTTCATTTATATAAAATTATGGAAAATGCAAACTCATCTCCAATGACAGAAAGCAAATCACTGTTTGGGGATAAGGGGAATCAGGAAACACTGAGTGACTGACATGTTCATTATCTTTATTATGGTCATGCTTTTATGAGTAGAATCAGTTTCTAAAACTATGTATTATATATACATTTTTCTTGTATAGCTTTATTATTCTACCCAGTCTTAGAGATATCTTCGTATATATTATTCTAGATGTTATATAGTATTAGCTTTTAACATCTCGGTCTATGATCCATTTTTAGTTTATAGTATGGGGTAAAAGTTGTCAAGGTTCATTGTTGAATATGTATGTCCAAATGTTCAGGTACTATTTGTTAAAAATACTATTATTTTCCATTGAAATACCTTGAATTTTTTTTAAAAAAACAATTAGTATATTTAGCATGTTCTAATCTGTTTCATTGATCTATCTTTACAATTTACAATAAAGCCAAATTGTCTTAACTATTATTTGATTATACAGAAAGACTTAAAATAAGGTAGTGTCTATTTCAGTTTTCCTTTATTGTCGCAATTATTTTGTCTCTTCCAGGTCTTCTACTTTTTTTTTTTTTGGTAAATAAAAGAGCCAGCTAAGGTTTGCAAAAAAAATGCAGTTTAATCTACAGGTCAGTTTAGAAGTGCCATCTTAAAAATCTTATTAGATATGCTTCGAACAAAATATATCTCCCCATTTACTTAGCTCTTTAATTTATCTTACAATGTTCTGTTATTTTCAGCATGCTCATCAGTTTTGTTAGATTTATCAAATAGTTCGTCAATTCAGTTTTCTATTGTTCCCTGCAAGCATATTATGGAAATACAGTGAATTTATGTATCTTGAACCTGAATCTTGTAGCCTCAGTAAATGTTATAATTAATTATAGTAATTCATGTGTAAATTGTTTGGGGTTATATTTAAGCAATCATGTAATAATTAGAAATTACTACAGGTAAAACAAAATATATTTTTTTAGGTTGATTCCATGTCTTTACTATTGTAAATAGTGTTGCAATGAACACACACGTGCATGTGTCTTTATGACAGGTGATTTATATTTCTTTAGGTGTACACTCAGTAATGAGATTGCTGGGTCAAAGAGTATTTCTGTGTTTGGGTCTGAGGAATTGTCATACTGTCCTCAACAATGGTTGCACTAAGTGGATGGAGCTGGAGGTCATTATCCTTAGTAAAGTAACAAAGGAACAGAAAACCAAATAAATACTGCATGTTTTCACTTATAAGTGGGAGCTAAATGATGAGAACACATGGACACAAAGACAGGAACAACACACGCTGGGGTCTATGGAAGGGTGGAGAGTGGGCGGAGGGAGAGTATCAGCAAAAGTAACTAGTGGGTGCTAGGCTTAATACCTGGGTGATGAAATAGTCTGCACAACAAACTCCCATGACACAAGTTTACCTATGTAACAAACCTTCCAATGAAGCCTGAACCTAAAATAAAAGTTATAAAAAGAAATTTATCTTTCCTTTGCCCTTTAAATTTTCCTTTCTAGACATTATGCTTACTCAGATCCTGATACAGTATTGTATAATAGTGGTAAGAGAGGGAGCTATG